ATATATATATATATATATATATATATATATATATATATATATATAATGTGTATGTGTGTTCATCAATGTGATTAATCAAAATCAGTTAAATGTGAACGTTAGTGTCTTTATTCAGAAAATCCACACATCACTTGTACATTTCAGGATCTGGTTATTATAGACACAGATTAAATGTTAAACAAGAATATTTATATATTTAAAACAACAGTAATATTGTTACACATGTTAGTACTTGTAAACACTCAAAAGAATACACACGTTGGTTTAGTGCTTACCTATAACCCTAACAAGGAGTAAACATTTTTAATAAGAGGAGTTAAGATCGAACTTTATTGATCCCGCAGGTTAAAAGTCACGAATGTTGTCTTTGGTGCCTGTTTGTTTTCCAAATATATAATAATAATTAATAATAATATTAGTGTGTGTGATTGACAGACATTAACATAAAACACTTTGTAGGCTCTACATACTTTTTCCCACTCACAAATATGTAACATTGGGTCATTTTCCTCAATAAATAAATCAAGTATAATATGTTTGTCTCATTTGTTTAACTGGGTTCTCTTCATCTACTTTAGGACCTGTGTGAAATTCTGATGATGTTTTAGGTCATATTTATGTAGAAATATAGAAAATTACTGAGTTCACAAACTTTCAAGCACCACTGAACCCCACGCAGAAACATCAGCAGTGGATCAGAACCACACAGATACAAAACAGTTTCCAAGTGGAAGTTCAGGTGAGTTTACCTGCTGACGAGACTCCCCTCTCGAGTGTTTAGGTCCTGACATCGACCAGTCTGTTAGCATCCGCTGCTTATGTCTCCACCGGAAATAGAAGATTTGACCCGGAAGCCGTCACAGTATATACTTCCGGGTCACGGAACGCAGAGACTTCGCTCCCGCTTTGTTCGTGTTTATGGTAAGTATGACCGACAACAGCACAAACAAACAAACAAACAAACGTGGCGTCTCTTCGGATAGTAACAGAAAAACATCTCTGAGCTCTCGGCTAGAAAAAAGGTCGCGCGCTAAAAGGTGTCTGCTTCAGGAGACAAAAAATTCTCAGAAAAATGTCCGAACTTCGTCAGCACGTTCAGGTCTTCTGTTCCATCCAAGGGCGTCAGAAGCATCCGTAATGTGGGGGGGACACAATGATGTGTGTAGATGTGCCTGTGTGCCCGCGCGCGTGCACGTATGTGCGCGCGTTTAAAAAAGGTGTTCACTAATGTACAAAAAAAGCAGCGTTTCACCTAGATTTCCTTTACTTCCACACATTTAAAGCATGTTTCTCACCAAGTTTGTGTAAATTCAGCTGTGGGTTTTAAAGACATTTTTACTTTAATACACTTTAATACAGAGCGTCAGGTCGGCACTATTTGTCTTTATAGAGAAATAAAAAACATCACCTCTGGACTTTTTTACTTGTGTTCAACACTACTCATCTAAATGATGTCTTGAAGACAATAAGGTGTGGGGTTTTAAAGACATTTCAACTTTAATGCACCTGAACACACAGTGTCTCTTACACCTGCAGCGTCTTACAGCGTCACAGTTACTGCCAAGGTAAGATGCGCTCCTCTCAAGCATCCTCCTAACATGAATATATGTTTATGATCCACCCCCTGGTCAACAACTGCCTGCACAAATCTCACTAAACTGGCAAGCGAGCAACACAGAAATGTCTCCATCTCCTCCACCTGTGCGCATTTTATGCCGAGACAGGAGGAGACGCACAGAAACACTGCAGGTGTTACACCATATTCTGTGACCACCGTATATTATGACTGTGGCAACAGGCTGCTGTGTTTAGAGTTGGATGTAACCAGGAAAACCTGGAGTGGAGTTTTAGTGGCCTTAGTATTCTCCTATTAATCAAGTGGAATGGATTTGTTCACAAAGAAAGAGAAACTGCGCAGACTGAACTAATGTTTTATAGTAAAAGTGTGTGTGGGGGGGGAGGGGGGGTCCAAATGAACGTTTTTTTTAATGTGGGGGGGACTTGTCCCCTTCACATATAATGGTTGCGACGCCTATGGTTCCATCTAAAGGATTTACCTGTATAAATAAAGGTTGATTGATTGATCTATCCATTATCTTCCGCTTATTTCGAAGTTGGGTTGTGGGGGCAGCAGCTTGAGCAGGGAGGCCCAGACATCTCTTTCCACAGCCACCTCTTCCAGCTCTTCTGGGAGGATTCCAAGGCATTCCCAGGCCAACCGAGAGACTAAAGCCCCAGGTATACTCCCGCGTACGTCCATACGCGGAGGTACGAGCGTACCCCCCAGGGCATGTCCGTGCAAAGCTCAATTTTTACGACAGCATACGCGTACGCGGTGTCGCACAATAAACTTCCCAGCGACGGACTGTTTTGTATGCAACACCAATGTATTAAATTCCCCTTCTTCATCCCTGATCTGGCCTTTTCTTTATTTTTTTTGCCAAGAGGCAGTGATCTCTTCCTCCACCATTGATGCTATGACTGAAATGGTGAGAAATGAGAGAATTTGTCACAAGCGAATTAAACTCGGGTCCAGCATGGCTGCGGGAGGGTCTGGAGATTTCCTGGTGGGCTGGTCTGATGTGTGGGCTGCAGACCCAGTGCTCCCTGTTTTTTTTTTTTTTTTAGATCTTTTTATTAACAACATATAAACACAGAACACCGCTGAGGCTGCCAGCGATTGTTTTTTTTTTTCTTTTCTGACCTGTCAATCAATCCAGTAGGTGTGTCAGCAAATGACCAATCGGCGACCTCAATTTGTCCCGAAGGTAAACGCCCCTTGTCTGTGAAGCTGCTCTGCAGCCGCTCAGGGTGGCTGCTCGAGAATGATGTCTGAACCCTCTGCGTATAGTACACGCTATGTACTTGTGAACGGACGTACGCGGGAGTATACTGGGGGTTATAGTCTCTCCAGCGTGTACTGGGTCTTCCCCGGGGTCTTCTCCCAGTTGGAAATGCCCGAAGCACCTCTCTAGGGAGGCGCCCAGGAGGCATCCTTACCAGATGCCCGAACCACCTCAACTGGCTCCTCTCGACGTGGAGGTGTAGCGGTTCTACTCTGAGTCTCTCCCGGATAACTGAACTTCTCACCCTATCTCTAAGGGAGAGTCCAGCTACCCTGCGGAGAAAACTCATTTCAACCGCCTGTATCTACAATCTCATTCTTTCGGTCACTACCCAGAGCTCATGACCATAGGTGAGGGTAGGAACGTAGACCGTCCGGTAAACCGAGAGCTTTGCCTTATAGGTCAGCTCTCTCTTCACCACAACGGACCGGTACAGAGTCCGCAATACTGCAGATGCTGCACCAATCTGTATGTCAATCTCACGCTCCATTCTTCCTCACTCGTGAACAAAACCCAGAGATACTGAGCTCCTCCACTTGAGGCAGAACCTCACCCTCGACCTGAAGAGAGTAATGCACCCTTTTCCGGTTGAGAACCATGGCCTCAGATTTGGAGGTGCTGATTCTCATCCCAGCTGCTTCACACTCGGCTGCAAACCGCTCCAGTGAGAGCTGAAGATCACAGCACGATGGTGCCAACAGGACCACATCGTCTGCAAAGAGCAGAGATGGAATCATGAGGCCACCTCCGCCAGCTGGCTGCACCAAGAAATTCTGTCCATAAAAGTTATGAACAGAATTGGTGAAAACGGGCAGCCCTGGGGGAGCCCAACTCCCACCCTGAAGGGGTCTGACTTACTGCCAGCAATGCAAACCAAACTCTCCCACCGCTTGTATAGGGACCGAACAGCCCGTAACAATGGGCCTCCAATCCCATACTCGCAGAGCACCCCCCACAGTGTACCCTGAGGAACAAGGTCGAATGCCTTCTCCAAGTCCACAAAACACATGTAGACTGGATGGGCAAACTCTCCTGACCCCTCAAGGACCCTAATGAGGGTAAAGAACTGATCCAGTGTTCCACGGCCAAGACGGAACCCACATTGTTCCTCCTGGATATGAGGTTCGACCAACGATCAAACTCGTTTCTCTAGTACCCCTGAATAAACCTTACCAGGGAGGCTAAGGAGAGTGATGCCCCTATAATTGAAGCACACCCTCCAGTCCCACTTTTTGAAGGGGGAACCACCACCCTAGTTTGCCAGTCCAGTGGCACTGCCCCCGATTTCCACGCAACGTTGCAAAGGCGTGTCAGCCAAGACAGCCCCACAACATCTAGAGCAGGGGGTGTCAAACTCCAGGCCTCGAGGGCCGGAGTCCTGCAACTTTTAGCTGCGTCTCTGATGCCACACAGCTGAATCATATGACTGAATTAGCTTCTCAGTGCAGTCAAGTTCTCCAAAGTCCTGCTAATGACCTCCTTATTTGATTCATCTGTGTGGCATCAGAGATGCATCTAAGAGTTGCAGGACTCCGGCCCTCGAGGCCTGGAGTTTGACACCTGTGCTTTTTAACTACCTCAGCGACCTCAGCCAAAGTTATGGATGGATCAACCCCAAAGTCCCCAGACTCAGCTTCCTCCATGGAAGACGTGCTGGTGGGATTTAGAAGGTCAGAGAAATATCCACCCCGAAAAAAAATTGACCCTCCATGGCAAGAAAGTTTTACCCTCCTGAGTCCCAAGCTTTTGCTTGGTGTACATTTTATTTTATTTTATTGTTATTTTAGATTAGTATAACCTGATAAACTTTAAAACAAATGCTGATTTTGAGCATTTAAAAGTGACAATGTACATGTATGGTATGTATAAAAAAAATCATCACTTTTATTTAACCAGATTAAAAGCCCATTAACATCAATTGGTTGGCCTTGTTGCTGTTTTAAGTGCTTTATAAATAAAGTGGTATGGTATGGTATCAAGATCTCTTTTCCAAGGGTGACCTGGCCAAGAGTTCAGCAGCACACCATAGAACATTAAAACAATTAATGATACAGGATATAAGATAATATATATTTTTATTGATCCCCAGGAAATTGTTGTGCCAGAGTTTTAGTACAAAGGAATATACACAAGATATAAAAATATAAGAGAATATAAAAAAATAAGAGAGAATTTAAAAAATAAGAGAGAATATAAAAATACCAGCAATTAAGTTCCAAACAGGTCAGGTGCAGACATGTGTGCAATGTCTAATGCGTGAAATGTTTTAATGTGAAAACATTAGTGTTTATTGTGGTGCAGGATTAATTGTATTGTCCTATGTGCAGAAAGGGGGAGGAGTTAAAAAGTTTGATAACCACAGGGAGGAAGGACTTCTTGTGTTGTTCTGTGGAGCACCTCGGTGGTCTCAGTCTACGACTGAAGGTGCTGCAGTAAGAGTCCAGGGTGTCATGCAGGGGGTGACATGTTGTTCAGGATCTGGAGCAGTTTCCTCAGCATCCTCTGCTCAGACACCTCTGTCAGAGACTGCAGGTCCACTGCCAGAACTGGGCCAGCTCTCTTGATGAGTATATTGAATCTGTTGGCATCAGCTTTCTTCGCCCTGCTGCCCCAGCACACCACAGCGTAGAAGAAGATGCTGGAGACCACCGAGTGGTAAAACATCTCCAGCATGGTCCTGCAGACATTAAAGGACCTGAGTCTCCTCAGAAGAAAAAGGTGACTGCCCTTTCTTGTAGAGGGCTTTGGTGTTAGCTATCCAGTCCAATTTGTTGTCTAGGTGAACCCCCAGGTACTTGTAGCAGTCCAGTGTCCACCTTAGTACCCTAGATGTTGATAGGGTTGGTGGGGCTGGTCTTCTTCCTGTAGTCCTCCTGCAACTCTTCAGTTTTTCCAGCGTTGAGTTGCAGGTGGTTCTGTCCACCACACCTCTGTATTCAGCTTCCTGGTCACCAGTGATGCAGCCCACAACGGCAGAGTCATCCAGAACTTCTGATGGCAGCATTGTGAGTTGTGTATGAAGTCCGAGGTGTAGCGGGTGAACAGAAACGGTGAGAAGACCGTCCCCTGAGGAGC